CTATATCCATCACCGTTCATCCAGTAACTGGATGGCAATGACACCTCATAATGTAGAGGGATTTGTAGTAATAAAGATCATTATTTACTTCCCAATTGTCTCTTCTTACTAAAAACTCAAAACCAACCTCATTGAGAAGTCGAATGCTCTGTGAACCTGACCAATTCCTAACATATATGAAATGGCCTTATGAGTTTTTGTATGTAATCCAAAGCCTAACCCTAGAGGAGATGAGAACCATGACTTCATGATGCATATGGGAAGCATCTTTAATGCAATAGAAGCCCATCCCGGGTAAGATCGTTAGGCCGTTGATGGGATAAGTTTTGTCATCATTTAGTGCAATAGAGGTGTATAGATACCTTATTGTCGCTAAGGGACTATTTAGGTACCCCCAACCCTAGATCATAGGGCCTAGGCTCAGCTGCCTTCCTAAACCTATCCAAGAATTGGAGCCCAGATTTTGCCTCAACTAAGTGCCCTTTTCCCAATCTAAACCACACTAGGGACTATACTAGCCTAGTAGTCTTTAGTATACCATGCCCCATGACCCATACACCATAGGAAACAACTTCTAAATGCAGTAAAAATTCCCATCATTAAGAAGCCCTAATGAGTTAACCCTAAACTAACATAACAGGCCCGGCCTGAAAGCTTGAGTCCCGGCCTAGTCCATTAACAGTCGTAGATATGATTGCTCAATCTGAGTTGTTTGTGGAGCCCTAATGAGTTAACCTTAAACTAAATTAACAAGCCCGGCCTAAAAGCCTAAGGCCCACCAAGTCCATTAACAGCCATAGATATGATTGTTCAATCTGAGTTGTTTGTGGTTCAGTGACACTGTATCATTGAACCACAAACAATTAAGATTGAGCCATTACACACCATTTTCTTACAATACCCCATTTTTAGATCATTTGATGGGCTAAAACTCTTGTCATTTTTTGCCTTAACAATGATCACTGACCAAATTGAAACCTAGAGATCCTACAACCTCTTTACAACTCCAGGGACCTTGATCCCATCTCTTTATGCAGTTAAACAATCCTAAAGCCTCCAACCTCACCTATGGACGGACTACCATCAGGTCAAGCCTAGACCATCATAGTCCCTTTCACTTCCAAAGCTCTCAAACCTTCGAAGAACTCTACCAAATCATGCAACCTAGCTCATGACTATCCAAGACAAAGGGAACGGTTCCCTCGCATTAAAAAAGTCTGATTTAGGCCACAACTCTGGGTGCTAGGCCTATAGGCCATTCGGTTTTTGGGGAGCTTCAGCTTGCACAACCAGTGGACCACATTAGGTAGACAGTGAGGTTGCCCCTTTCGTGGTCCATAATTTAACTGTTTTCCATTTCTTTCTATCATTTCTATTGATTTAGTTTAAACAGAAACCAAGGCAGAAGAAGCTCACTCTTTCTCACTCGAATTTCGTTGTAAAAAAGCCAACATTCAAAACAATGCTTTTAAGGCTTTATTTTACAATGGATAGAGCTTTTGTATGTTTGTTGATGCATATATTCAAATACGGTCTCCTTCAAAAATTCATCTTGAAGATGGATTTTGGACCTAAAATTTTACAAATCTAAAATCTCAACTACCACAGTCATAAATCTAAAAAAAAAATGATCTTGAACTAAAAATTAAGACTATTTTAAAGTTTGTGTTTTGGATTGTTCATTACCATTTAGCTGCAGTCTTTATCGATCATCAGGTCTGCACTGTTTTTTGAGCTGCAAAATCATGGTCTAAAATGGAAATGAACTTAAGAGTGGTTTACGATGCATTTCAGTTCCTATCTACATCTCTAAGATGGACATTTGAACTTTTCCCTATTACAAATACAAACCGATTTCACTTTTCTCTGTTATTGAGTGCAACAATATACTCATCCTGCGAATTGGAGATCCATTTCCAGGATTTGGATATCAAGGAAATATCCCAATCCACACAAGGGTCATATTAAGGATATGCCAAAATAAAGAAAAGTTAGAGTTGGCATATCTAGGATATATGCCAATACAAGGAAATAATTGATTGGTGTATTACCGAGACTGTTAGCCCTATTCTCCCCATTATCTCTCTCTTCCATTTTTTTCCTATAGTAGATTTGAGATGGAAAAGAAAGAAAAAATAATGAACATTTTATAACCTGTAAGTAAAATGAAATTGACAAATCTGAAATCAATATATAGATGAGTCAATTAGATGATTTGCATACCCTGGATTCCATTTAGAAGTATCTAAACAGCGGTTACCCAATATCCAGGATTTGTATTTCCCAGAAGATTCATATGTATGATATGAATCAAATTTGTGATTTGTATTTCCAGAGAGCCAAATTGGCCATAAGGGAGTAACTTAGGGCACCGACAAACAATGTCTTAACCTTTAGTTTTCAAAGCTAGATAAAAATCCAATGCAACCATCTAGTCATCCCAGCTAAAAAACTTAGATCTGAAGATAATCATCTTTAACCGACTGAAAATCCAATGGAACATTTTTTATTTGAAAATTCGAGATCTAGTTTAAGTATCATCAAATATGATTATTTTTAAAGAAAAAAAAATCCATTTTGACTTATTGGACATCTAAATCTTTTCTTCTGAAAATCAGATAGTTCCTGTGCAATCTTGGGGTGTCAAGAAATTCTTTTTTCTTTGAGGTTGATCACTAGGTTCTAGAGATTACATCCTCAAAATCTGAAAAATATTCCTTATATGAGTTTTCACTGTGTACACCACCGCAAGTTCCTCGACTTATATGACACCCAAATCAGACATAGCTTTAAGGTAACATTCGGAGCTCGGGAGGAATATTTCATTTTTGGGAGAAAAACATCCCTTGCATTATGCCCATGAGTGACAGAAGGGAAGAAGAAAGTAAAACTGCGACCAAGCTAGCTCGCGAGCATGCTCACCACGGCACGTAATGAGCTGAGCCTGAGCAGCCAAGCTATGCTATGCTGATTATTAAACAAGCCAAGCTCGAGCTTACACAAGCACACCATGAGCGTCCTTGTTATATTATATTATAGAGCACAATATACAAAAAAGGGTGTGGTTTGTATAAGGCTAAGGCTCTAAACAATCAAAGTAAGGCGCACCTCTAAATAGTGTCCAAAGATGATTTTTCAATAGCAAAAGTTTTTGTGATGACCTGCAAATTTATTTTCATCTCTAATTATAAACTTCAAAGCTTCAAAAATAGTATAAATCGAGTAAATTTAGAAACACTTGAAAATAATGAAAATTGACGGCATAGATAATACACTATTTTCCAAACTTGAAATCTATTTTTTTCACATCTATATATATCGAGAATGAGATTATCAATTTGAGGGTTTTTCAATATCAAAATAATCTCTTTTGATTGTTTAAGTCCTCAACCTTATATAATTTTTTTCCTCCAAAAGAATATGCAACATATTATAATATATAATACATAAAAATATGCAACATATTATATTATATTACCTTACCTAAAGTAGGAAATTCCGTATTATATTTTCAACATATATCTCTGTCGATTTATAACCTGTATGTGGGTTAAACGCTCATAGTGTTTCAGTTATTTCATAAGATTGCTTAAATAAATAAACCAAGGTCAACCTCAAATTTTGTGGTTCAAGCTTGAGGACAAGTCCAAGCTATCGGATTTCGCATCGGATGGTTGTAACTAATTATAATCTCCTTGTAACAAAGCTAAATGATCTCATCATAAGCTCTAACATTAGCTTGACCATCTAAATGCTTGCCAGAAAACCTTTGAAACAGAATCGTCTCGCAGTCAACATCAGAGCTTTATATGGTATTGCGGCTCGTAAACCAACGCCCAACTCGAGCTGGGTTTAGGTTGAAGATTCTTGGCACTACCGGCAAGCTTCAGGAAACTCTATTCCGAATTTACTTCTGTTTTCATGGAAAATGTTTTTTTTTTTTAAAGGCCTCATGGAAAATGTTTTCATTTCCATTTCCACTGAATCATTGAACATCAGAAGTCGATTGCATTTTTTTCCAATCCATTCGACCTTTTTCCCAATGATTTTATCATATCATCAGTAGTTCATCTTGATTTTCTTCGAATTTCTTCTCAATGGTTGCATTAAATTCATTCATTTTCTCCAATTATCCATAGGGAAAATTATAAAAAACCCCAATATACACTATCGATGCAACTTACTCCATCCAACCTTTTTCTCTCACTTTTTCCCCCACAGCAACCTTTTTTTCGCAAAAACCCCATCCCAAAAGAATAAGGAAAAAAAGAAGCTAAACTACTTTTTATTTTACACGCCCTTTTCTCTCCTGTTTCCTATTTTTTAATTTACCCAATACACTATAGCAGTACAAAGACACGCTCTGGCAATACAGTTTCTGGAAACAATGCGCTCCGGTAGTCCCGACGATGCCCTCCGGCAGTCCCAATAACACTCTGGCAGTATATGATCTAGAGTCGTAGTGTAATAGAGCGCTCTGGCAGTGAGTTTAACGCTCTGGCAGTATATGAACGCGCTTCAACGGTACACCTTCTGGAGACCTTTCGCTCCGGCAGTCTATAAAGGCACTCTGGCAATAAAGGTTATGGAGCCACAACACTTGGGCAGTGTAATAGCGCACTCCAGCAGTAACGTGCTCCGGTAGTGCATACGGCGATCTGACAAACCTTACAAAGCGCTCCGACGCTCGATACATACTCGCTCCGACAATATGTTCTAGACAATTCACTCCCGCAATTGTATACTGCGCTCTAGCAATACACTATGTGACACCGATAGTCAACGCCAATTGATTTTTTTTGTACAAGAAGGGCATTTCCATCTAAAAAATAACAACTTTTTGCTTTGGGGTGTTTTTGCGAAGAAAGGTTGTTGGGAAAAAAATGAAAGAACAAATTTGTATGGATAAGTTGCATAGATAGTATATTGGAGGTTTTTTATAATTTTCCCATATCCATAAGCAAATTCCGACACCCTATCAAATGCCTGATCTGATCAACTACTCCTTGAAAGACTCGTGGTTCTGTTATTGAATCCAATTTTTTTGAATAAAATACTGTTAAAGCGTAGAAAAATAAGGGGTATAGAAACCTCAAAATTTATTATTACTATACAATTTCACCGAAATATTCAGTCTCCTCACTAAACATGGTATATCATTCCTACCTCCAGAGTGGAAGTGTGGGGTATGCTCAAGGCAGCGGCAGGCCCCCTGCAGTTCCTCCTCAAAAAGTCATAGCCCACATTGATCACCACCTTCTTCAAGAGGCTTGACCCAGGTTTCGCCCGCACATATGAGTGGCCCAATATAAATGCCATGCCGGCCTCTCTCGCCTCCATCAGCTCGTTGAGCTCTGCCCTTACTCCCGCTTCCATTGTAGGGCTCTCGGGCAGAACAAACCTCACCCGTTTCCTTGGCACTGGCCCAGGCCCGAGCCTCGGGGACCATATCTCCGTGGATCCCGTGGGCTCTGCGGGTCCACTACCACCATCACAGGCCCTCATGATCTCGGATTCCGGCCCCGGGCTCCCCACCACTGTCATTGCATCACTATTCTCCCCCAGCTCGTCACCAACATTTTGCAGACCACCCCCAGAGCCACGTATAAACTCTGCGATCGAGTAGACGAGTTCGTTTTCAAACTCGACATCATCTTTACGCGCATCGAGGTAGCCATAACGAACAATGCATCTATAGAGGTGGTAGTCCTTGGGGCCCACACGGCCCACAAGGAACCGCTCTCCTGGTCTGACATAGGGCACTGGCACCGACTTTACGCAGACAAAGACAAGGACTTGGTGGAAGGCAGGGAGGTTGGCAAGGAAGTGGGAGAAGATGGCAGGGACCCCAGAGACGAGCTCGGTATGGACAAGGCCAATGCCAGGTACACGCACAATCCCCAGACTAGGACCGAGGCCAAGGAGCCACTGCATGGATACCTTGTTTTGCATGTCAAATTCATATTTCTTGAGGGTGGCATAGTGCCATACTAACATGACGCCCATAAAGGCAAGAGAGAGGGCCACTGGGACCCATGCGCCCTCGCGAAACTTGATGAGGGAGGCAGAGAAGTAGAGGGCCTCAATGGAACCAAAGAAGAAGATGAAGCAGATAGCAAGAAGGATGGTCTTGTGCCAGCAGAGGACAATGACAAGGGACATAAGACATGTGGTCACGAGCATCACTGTTATCACCGCAAGCCCTGAATAAAAATTTTGGTAGGTTAGTGTGTGATGGGCATGTGCAATAAAAAATTCAAACTGTCATAACATACTTGGATGCTATCACAGATAGCATGTATAATTTTTTAGACAAACTTCAAGCTAACAAACCTCGGACTTGCTTGACGCAAATTGGAGTCTTACCGCTAGATCAAAGCTTAAGGGATAGTTTAAAAATTTCGGGCCTACATTAGAATTTTATCATAACTTGGCAGAGCCTACAAACGAATCTACAAACAGTTATTTGCTCCTCGATGGAGCAACCCATGAATTGGCAATGCACAATTGAACCTTGTTTGGCAGCCAATGTGTGAGCATAATTAAAAGAAAGAGGAAGCAAGAAGCAGAGATGTGGAAAATTTCATTGAGAAAATGAAGTGGATTTGGAAATTGTCTTGAGAAGCTGAGATGAACATTACCGGAGAAAATTGGCAGTTTCTGAACTATTTGGAAATCATGAAGTTATAAAGAAAAGCACCAATTCAAGAGGTGAAGAAAGCAAAGCACCAGAAGCCCGAAATATATGCCCAACTAATCAACTCTGGAATAAACCGGTTGCCCAATGATGGATGATGGCCTCCTCTCTCTCTTCCCCTTCCACCACCAATAAATTTCAAAAAAGGTATTTCATACTCCATTATACATTGGAGGCATGCAATGTGCAAGAAACAAAACAACGGGAAGTATGATACAGGAATTGGGTTCAAAATCTACCAAATAGAAGTGATCCTATTTTTTCTTTTTCTGTAAGAACAAACAAAAAGGGTAAAAAGACAGTTTTCTTTTTCTTCTTGCTAAGTTATTCTGCATAAGGAGCATCATAACCATACTAGATTGCATGAGTTACATGATTCACTAACACGCAAAGCCCAAGAGCGTACATATAACGACATCTACAACTCAAAATAGTTTCAGTGGTACCTGAAGCATTGCCCATCCTTTTCGTGTCTCTGAACCCAATTGTGACAGCCAAGCATAAGAGCATGAGAATCCAATTTATCTCCGGGATGTAAATCTGGCCATGTATTTTATCTGACGTATGAACAATCTTAACACGGGGAAAACATGCCATATTGGAGCATTGTTTTATGATTGAAAATGTTCCTGTGATAATGGCCTGGCTACCAACAACTGCTGCAAGTATTGCTATAGCCAAGACTGGCCAACGAATTTTCTCTGTGGCATATTCATGATAGAGAAAGGAACTTAGAAACTCAAATGCGATTATACTTGTGATTATGTCAGAAAAGATTATTAAGTTCTTCTATTGCGAAAATAACATATCCAATGGAGTATGAACCAATGAAAGCCATGGTCAACTGGGATGATCACGGTGGACCCACCACTGGGGTGGTGGGTCCCAATCTCTCCGTAACAGCCCATCTCGTCGGATGTTGATGGCCCCAATGGACATGAAGTATACCATAGTAACCAGATTATAGTTTATTTAACCATAACTTTTCCTATTATTCAAATAAGAAAAATACGATTCTACAAAATATATTTTGAGGCAGCTGTGCAAGGAAAAGAGAAGTGGACCAAAGCACTGATACCTGGTACAGAAACATAGAACCCAATATGGTAGTGACTCTCAATTACATGGTGCATCGATAGATAAGCTGCTTGCCCCATATATGCAAGTATCAATGAAGGATATACCACAAATGTAAAAGCAATCTGCACATGGGTGACAAGGCAATATAGATTATTTCAGTTTCCAACTCTTTATGAACCAGTTGATCATCCACAATAAATAATAAATAGAATAGGGAAAGTACACAATAATCAAATGGACAATGGAAAACCACATTCCATTGTGGGCAGCATCATTCAAAGGAACTATAGATGATGTAGGAGAGAGTGGGAACCACCATTCTGTCATGTCCTATTCTGGTGTTGCCCCCCCTCCCCCTCCCCCTCCCCTTCCCATCACAATCCAACATTTCATTGGAAGATGCTGACCCAATGAACCATGAGTGCACCATAGTCCATTGGATTGTATGTATCCTTATAATAATAAGGCTTGCTGCAAATATTAGCCCCATGGGGGAGAGAATATATGAGAATCCCAGTGATACCTGGATTGATAACTGTGAAAAGTGTCCTAGATCTGCAAACATGGCTTCAGAACCTGCAAAAACAAGCAAATGTATCATAAAGGGATGTAATGGCAAAACGATCTCGCTACCTTTCCTGCTTGGAATAAAAACTATCACCTACCTGTTATGCACAAAAGGATTCCACCCAAGGACATCCAACCACCACGTTGGGTCTTCTTTAAAAATTTGTACATATAATAGGGAGAAAGTGCTTGATACACATGAGGGTTCCAATGGAAGATATTATAGACACCAATAATGCTGATGCATAAAAGCCATGTTATAACGATTGGTGCAAACATGAATCCCACCCGATGGGTACCATAATGTTGGAGAGCAAACAGACCCACCAAAATAATACAAGCAATAGGGACCTCTGCGTCTGAAAAAATTGTTGAATTGTGAGAATTGAGAACTGCGACACAAATTATATTGAATAATTCATTCAACCAACAAACAACAAATGCAATAACACAATTACAGTGTGGGAGTAGGGCTGAGGGTTCCTCTATGTGGATCAATCATGACTGATGCATCTGTAGACTTGGGTTATTAGCATGGCCATGCAACAGAACTTAGTTATACTGAATATAATGAATCTATCTTGCCTAGCGGCAATTAACTACATTTACATAATTGTCCAGGTGAATCATCAATAAAGGAAGTTAAAACATAATTACATTCCCAGATGAATACAATGAATACAAACATGTACATACACGATATAACCAAGAACATGATTCAAAGGAAGTTAAAACATAATTACGTTCCCAGATGAATACAATGAATACAAACATGTACATACATGGTATAACCAAGAACATGATTCAAGAAAGATTAAATTTCACAATAGTTTAAAGGCAACCTACAATTGACATATAGGTGCCACCATATCAATAGAGAAACTTAAGAGCTGGGGTGTTACAGGTCTTTAAACAAAGCCCTGGATCCATTTTTTAAGGTTCCAAAATGTACTATGGAAGATATAAGTGATAGGCAGGAGGTCTCTATTAGAGTGATAAATTGTACCTCTGAAATCCTTTGTCAAATTAATTGTAGTCATGGTTCTTTGAGTGTTTGTGATCAGTTAATTATATGTGAGCAAAAAATCAGAGATAAGGAAAACACAATTTTTTTTTTGAAACTAAAAACACCTAAAAATTAATCTCAAATGGGCAAAAAAAAACTAAAATTTATTCCCAGATGATTGGCTGAAACACATGTATTTTAAATATATAATCAGTGAAATGCTGATTTACTTTTCTTTATAACAGAAATTCCTGCCAAGTGAAGAGTCTTGAAGTTAGACAAAAGAATTTGACTTAATGTAGGTCTCAATTCGCAAGCTCAAAACTTGAGCGTCATGCCATGAAAGCAATAGCTCAATTCATAGCACCAAATCATTCGCCTTCAAAGTAAACTTTCCGATGCATATGTTGAATATCTCCACATACCAATGAAGCTGAAGGGCAAGTTCTATAGGATAGCTGTGCTCTATGGGGCTGAATGTTGGACGGACAAAAAACAATATATCCATAGAATGAGTGTAGCAGATATGAGGATGATGAGATGGATGAGTGGCAAGACAAAAAACGATAGAATTCAAAATGAATTCATTCAGGAGAATTTAGGTGTGGCACCAATAGGCGATAAGATAAAAGATAGTAGAGTTAGGTGGGCTGGCGATGCGTGGTGCCGACCAAGTACAACACCTGTTAGGAAGTGCGACTTAGTTCAAGAGGAAGGACTTAAAAGGGCAAGGGGTATGCCCAAAAGAACGTGGTTGGAAGTCGTTCGAAAAGATATAGGGACTTATGGCCTCACTGAGAGTATGACCTTTAATAGAGCAGAATGGAGGACTAGGATTTGTGTAGCCGACCCCAATTAATTGGGAAAAGGCTATGATGATGACGACGACGACGACGATGATGATGATGATGATGATGAATATCTCAAAATACAATAGTTGAGATATTTAAACTTAAACATTCAATGAATGCAATCTCCATCACTATTGTCTTTGTCATGTATCGAAGTGGTCTATGGTGAGTCGAGCACGAAAATTGAAGATCTCATGATCTAAATCACTTTCTTTTAAGGAAAATGAAGATTGGGATCCCTCTATGAGAGTAGGTTAATGAATAGTTTTTGAAAAGTAGAATAATATCTGGACATGCATGGTTCGATGGATCGACAAGTCCAAGTTTCAAAAGAAGCACAACTATTCCACGTATAGTTTTGTACCATGTATCTGAATAAACATGTTTTCATGGAGATGCAGAATGTTTATATAGAAAAAATGATAATTATCAAAATCCAAAATTCTCTATTCCATGGTCCACAGACCTAGTGAATAGAACTGGCACACAATAACGAAATATCAACATTGAAAGGTAAATTTCCAGGAAGATGGGTGTTACAAACCATCTAGTTATAAGAAAGAACATATCTCATAAATCCAACCTTAACAAATATTTTCTTTGAACCCATTCTCCGTCGTCTAATTTTCTTATATGTAACTAAACCCAAACAAAAAATAAAATGGAGTCTCTAGCTCTCTGATAGTAACAGCAAGTTAAGAATAATTAATATATAGATTTTCCTAGTCTCTAGATCAAAGAAATAACATCCTTAATGGATTTGATCACCTCTAACTTGCAAACCCTTGTTGCTCAAGTGAGCATGGTAACATTTGAGAAGTAAGTGCTCTCGATCGTGTCTTTTATATGATGTTAAGCCTTGCAGAAATCCTGCACATGGAATCAAGGACGTACACACAAATACATTCTCGGTTTTAAACTAAAGAAAACCATTCTAGTTCTGGTTTTTATTAAAACAATGCCAGACCTTGATCCTTACAAATCAATTGTGTAAGATAAGGTTTATATAATCCTTCTAGCCTCAAAACTTTTGTGCATAGCAAATCTGCTTCACAGTTACTAAATATACCCCAAAGGAGCTGTATCCCAACATTTGTTTAGATAAAATCATAAAATATCTTCAAGACCTTCACGAGTTCCAAGAATCACCAGTGTTTAACCTTAACGAGGATGAAACACATTTAAGGCAGTGTGCAAGGGAAAAAAAGAAACTCTTTTCATATATATATATATATATATATGTAGGAAAAGTCTTAAAAACTCCTATAGGCGAATTGCTACAATGAGTTTTGCCTAAAAACCGCCACAGACCTACGGAAGTTGTGGCGGTCACCATATATTTTTTGCGTCAAAGTTGCGTGAAGAAAATCCTGTCATGGACATGCTATATCCGTGCCGGACTGCCACGGACATGCTATGTCCTTGATGGTCTTTCATCCATGTCGTCCGAAAAATTCGGACGGCGTAGTTTTTCGGACGGCACCGAGCCTGTGGGCGAATATACCGTTCATTTTCGCCCATAGGCGTTTTGTAGTCTCTTCTACATATATATATATATATATATATATATATATATATATATATATATACTACGTACGGTAGTACGACGTACTAACTACGTACGTACGTTACGTCGTTACGTACGTAACGTACTACGTAGTACTTTACTTTTA